AGAGTAGAAAGTCTTAGTCTCTTGCAATAAATATGTCTCACATATTAATTCTTCTATTAGTGTCTTATTCTTCACAGTTTTCTTCAGTTTATTAAAAAAACAAAAAAAAAATATTTAGCATAATTTTTACAATATTTTTTATAAAAGGTCGATTAACTACCTAGTGCATGTGTTATTATCTCTTAAATGGATACATCCGACGGTACTATACTGGACTTTCAATTAATGTCGCGTTGGTAAATTTATGAACAACTGCTTCATGGAGTTAAGAAAAACTAGACATAAATACTCCTTAAAGCTTGTAATGTATTATGAAATGTTTAATTCTAACTATCATACAACATCAAGTTTCAAATGAGATGAACATATTTCCCTAAAGAATACACTGATTTCAATCAATAAATTAAGTATTTCACACGACAAACAGTTAAATAAAGTTGTCATCAAATTTTGCAGCAAAATATGACGGTTATACTTTTTCATTCCAAATATTTTCCCGCTTCACATCAACACGACTCAAATTTGAAGTATATCCATTCGGAAATTCTAGTGATTTGAACCACCAAGAAGTTAATTTTTGATGGGCCAAAATAAGAGAATATTTTTTTTGGGGGGATTCATAAGCTTACCAACAATACTTTCTTGAATCTCTAACTACTGACTTTTGTAAATCTCCTTTAAATCTAGTCTAATATTCACGTTATCTTTATTTTTTCCTTAACAACCATCACAGTGATGAAGATATTGTCAAAGAATTTTTTTTCGATATAAATGATATCAAGATTGTGTATGATCATTTTATCCTTCCAATAGGGCATATCTCAAAAAATAAACATGTTTATCCAATTATGTGTACACCAAAGCCCGGTGGACGGTGTGAAGAAAGCTCGGGGCAAACGGTAACCTTTGGAATGTTACTAACAATCTGGAATAAATCATCCCTAGTTACTCTTAGAGGTGGTGTTGATTTCTCAATTTTATTTCTTCTGAATATATTTTTGTTTCACCTGAAGGGATGTTCAGCATTTAAGAATATATGATGACAATCAAACCATGAAATCTTTCTGGCATGCTGAAGCATAAATGCCTTAGATGAATCCATGCAATATAACAAGATAACTTTCCCATAATGCTCTACCCAGATAACATGTCATACGCAGAAAAATTACTTGTTGTCCACATTAATGATGCTTACATTAGAAAATTGTGTTTCGTTGAAATATCATATGTCATGACACCCATTTCTTAGAAAACATGCAGCTCATCGATCAACATCTACAAATATAAATCAAACCTTTATTTATGTATATTGGGACCTGGTATAATCAGTGTCAGGAAGAAGAATGGTATTTTCATGCACATCTCAGGTGGCAGATTATATGGTGTAACGATCACTGACTAATAAGAGAAGAGCGACGCCATCCAACTGTACAGTGAGAAACCATCAAAGCATAAGTCATGTCGCAAGTTACATGCCTCCAGAGTGAACTCTGGATATATGCCGTCAAAATTTTTCACGCCTCTCCATCTACAGAATGACTCATTAAGTTGATTTCCCCTGATCATATATAATACCACGTCATATGTGAAGAAGTACACATAGAAGCAAATAACCACTAAATATGTGGAATAAAATGTCGATAAAAGAGCCACTTGTATGAAAATTTCTTCTGCCTCCTACTTTTTATACTTTGAGGTTTTAATTTAGAAGTATGATAAAATCTGCATTGAGTCTTTGTTGCACTAAACTTATAAAATAGTTTACTTTCGTACACAACAATTAATCTTCTTTGCTTTCAGCCCAAACTTGGAGATCAGTTTTTTTAACTTGTATAAGTCTTTTAGAGGTAAATTTTTCCGTGGATTTATCTCTTTCAATAATCCTACAAACTAATTGAACCATCTTATGACACGTTAAACTCAGTTGTAATTTTCAACATTCTAAGAGCTACATATAACTTAGAATGGGATGCATAACCCTTCAACAATGGCATTGAGCCACATTCAATGAATCATAAAACTCCCAAACTTTGTGGTTTAGTTGATCGTCCTCCACTTGACTCAAATAATAATGTCTTATCCCATCAAAGACCGTTTCTTCAAATCAACTTGACTGAAATTCAGGTTGAAGATCATAGCTTGTCGAAGGAGCAGAGTTATATATTGTAGGGTAAACATCGTCATATGAAGTCCAAATCCAATAATCAGGTTGAAATCTCCGATGATATAAATCATATATGACTTCGCCAAAAATTAAGTATGTTGTATTACTGTTTTAGAACATAGACACCTTTGTCTTTCTTAACATAAGTTGAATCTAAAACATCTACTATCCTGACCGGATCCTCAGATGATCGACGTTTAATGTGACCAAACCACGACTCTCTCTAATCTTGTCCGCCACTGGAGCTACACCTATCCTATCACGAATATATTCATTTCGCAATTGTCTCTAAGTATCAAACCACTCATCCACCTAAGCATACTCATCTAAGCAACACTTAACTTTGTTTTATGTGTTCAGGGATTAGAGGACTGAAACATCATTAACATCAAAATAAAATATTGATAAAGTTGTAAAAAAAATAATATAGAAAATACATATTATTATCTCGAGTAACATGACTTGAATGAATAAAGAAGGCTAGCTCATAAAATTGGCCTCTAATAGCTAGTAAAAAAGTCTAGCTATAAAATAAAACTAACCCCAGCAATTTGCTGAATGCCTTGTTCTTCACACAAATTTAAAACTTGGTTACACATATTGTGCAAAAAATTGAGATAAACTGCAAAATATCTTCTCCAATGCCAACCGTGATTACATGTCGTTTTCGCTTCTATTTACTATCCCTTCCTTATTTCCTTTCATGGTTTGTTGTCACATTCCATCCCCACCCTTTGGTCGAGTCCTTTGCTACACCCCATGTTCCTATAAACCTGCACTTTGCAAAGTCACCGAAAGCATTAATTCACGTAGGTATGCAGCTGTAATTACTTTTTCAAATTCAATATATAGCTGATTCTAATATATTCTCAAGTAAACTTCTAGCAATTAAGTGTGAAATATCTACCTTGGATGTATTTTTCTTATCAAACCTGAGGTGAGGTTTAGGATTGAAACAAATTGACGAATAAAAATTCAATTTTCAATTCAAGGTTAGTTTGACATGTTTAAATACGGAAATTACAAGAATTTAGATGCTTGATGTTTTCTTTAATCAATAACAAAAGAATCCATGTTGCTAAACCTAGCCCCATTAAGGCTTCGTTTGAGGGAGTTTTGCAACAAAGAAAGTCACCTGCGATCTAAAATGGTGAAAAATTGCCGTTCATGCGAAACAACTTCGGGAGAAGTCCGACTGACGTTGCTTCACCGAACAAAACCTTTTCTACCTGTCGACGTCCACTGCAACGCAAAAGAGGTGCACCATCTTCTCAAACAAAGCCTAAATTAATGCCTAATCATTCAAATTTCATGCATACCACAAAACTTATTATGAATTATATATCTAACCCATAAATTTTCATATTTACATGCTATCACTCGAATCCTTAATATCACAACAAGAATTTCACTACTGTTTACTTTAAAAAATGAACAGCATCTTTTCATGCATAGATCATATATGACATTGATGTATTTTGAATAAAAATATGAAAGTTTAGATGTTAAATATGTGAATAGCTAAATGTAGCATGTGTGGTATATAAGTAAATTTCCCAATTGTAAATAAATGCATCATCAAAAGTTCTAATTTCTCCAATCTACCCGAGAGTGTTTGGTATTTCCCAGTGCGGACTTGAGCAGATTCTCCAATCTTTCTACTTTTTCTTTGTTGTTCCTTAGGTCCCCCCTCTTGATGTTGTTTTCATGACACCGCAATTTCAAGGAAGAACACATGGAGCTGTCTCAAGTCTTCTGTTTAGAGACTGAAAGTTTTGGTTGAATTGATAGATATTTATTTCGCAACGAAATCAAACTAAGCAATGCCAATAATGCTTTAAAACTATGTATGCACTTTTACATTTGACATATGTAACATTCAGAAAAA